AGGACTTGTCCTTAGCAGTTTAGGACTGTGTTTGGGACCGCTTAGATTGGAGTCTGCCAAACTTTATTTTTGCCCAGAAGAATCCGAGGAAACAAGGAAATGTCCAAACGATAAACTGTACTATTCATACTCCTGGTAATATTAGTCAAACACTCGGAGAAATTCTTGGTCGGATTTGATCTATGCGTAGAGGACAATTTTGTGTACGGTCTTGGTCGTTATTGCATTAAAGTATGGGGTGTGTTTGGTTTGGGACTTTGGGAAGATGAGTTGCATTAAATAAAATGAGACATGATCCGACCACATTAGGATATAACATGTCGTTAAGTATACTCAACGTTTATTATTGTGTCAAATCCTTTATATAATAAAGCTATATGGTTTGTGAAATAATTAATATTACAATTAATGCCACAACATCTTTTATTATTAAAAAAAAAAAAAGCACAACATTTAAAAAATAAAATAGCTATATATTATATAATCATATAAAAAATATAATTTTGAAAAATAAAATAACTATATATTATATAATCATATAAAAAATGTGTTCAATTAGAGTTTAAATTTACACATACAAAATTTAAAATTTGCTTTCGAAATGTAATTAACTTAGTTATTATTCGTATTGTGAAAATTATAATATAGATGAAATACAATTAAGAATAAATCAATATACTTATGTAAATTCTCTCTATAAGTTTATTTGAATATGTACATAATTAGAGATTATATTAACCATACAAAATTATAATTATAATTTTAATATTAATTTTAATTGTAATTTTGTATTCTATAAAAATAATAAATACTTGACCAATGGAAGCTCAAAAATATTATTATATTAAATAATTTAAAATATTTTAGTTTTTCTATTTTTTATTTATATTTATAATAACATAATTTTTTCCCGTGCAACGCGTGAGTGAATTACTAGTAATATAAAAGCACAATTGGTCAATTATATAGCAACTAATAACACACCTCATATTTCCTTTATATTTGTGTAATAGTTTATAGTTATCAATTATCATTACATCTCAAAAACATGTCATAATAAGATACTAGATTTGACCCTCTATGGCAAATTATATTATGCACTGCGCGTCTTTTTTTTTGTTTTGTTTTTTAATGAAAATAAACAGTGTTTGTTTCCCCCGTTTCGCACCCTTTTGCAAAAAGTAACTCTGTTATTCAGTGTCATTTTGTATACACTGCAGTTTCAGTTCAACACAACTACAGTTTCATTTCAATATAACTATAGTTTCATTCGATATTTATAGACTCAAATATGTGAAAATGTTATTTAATTTTATTTTATATACACTATAGTTTCATTAAAACACAACTACATGATCATTTTGATATAATTACAGCTTCATTGTACAATATACACTCAAATATGTGAAATGTTATTCAGTTTCATTTTATATACACTGCAGTTTCATTTCACTATAACTACAGTATCATTTTGATATAACTGCAATGTCTGTTTAGATATACTATAGTGTCAGTTGGTGTTTAATACACCAAACAAGCGGACTCCGTTAACTCTAACGACGGGCCGTTTCTTTACTTAAAAAACGGTGCCGTTTTTTACCGCGGTGCATAGGTCTATAATATAACCATGGTTGTAAAAATCGGTCTAGGCGCCCGCCTAGACCCCGCCTAGGCGCTAGGCGCCTCTAGACTGTGGCGATTTTCCCCCTACGCGCCCGCCTAGGTTACCGGCCGCCTAGGCGTCCGCCTAGCACCTAACTAGGCCGATTTGGCCGCCTAGCGTCTAAGTTAGTCGAGTTAACTCGTCCATTTCGGTCGAGTTAACCCGATCGGCTTGACCTATTTTTTTTATTATATATATATATATATATATATATATATATATATATGTGTGTGTGTGTGTGTGTGTGTGTGTGTGTGTGTGTGTGTGTGTGTGTGTGTGTGTGTGTGCGCGCGCGCTCGCGCACGCGCATACATATATATAATATGACATACATACACTCGTAAACTAGTTTGATACTTTGAATCTTTGGATGATTGAAGTATTTGAGTATTTTTAATTTTTAATATTGTTTTAATGTTTTTTTTTTTAAAACCATTGTTTTGATGTTATGACTTATGAATTATCAGTAATTCATTTATTTGGATGTGTTATTTGATTAAATGTTGAAAACAACCTCATTAAATTGTCAAACTGCAAATCTACCACTGTTTTTTTGGCGCCCACCTAGCGCCGCCTAGATTCCGCCTAGGCGCCGCCTAGATCGCCTAGGCGCTAGGCGCTGTCCGGGCGCCCGACTAGCGCCTAGCGCCTACTGCAACCATGAATATAACAACTGACCCTCTACACTTTTGGCCAACACTATTCACACATTACCCATATAAGATTATAGGCCCAAGAAGTTGACTTTAATGTCAATTGAAGTTTAATGGGCCTTTGGGCCTCGTTTGTGAAAGAAGTCCAACTGATTTTTTTTTTTTTTTTTGGCATAATGTCTAAATTGGCCAAGTAATTTGAAAATCAATCGTTATGCCATGGAACCATGGTGAACACGGTTCCAACGGTGTTAGTACACCGTTATCTTTTTTTTTTTTTTTTTTTTTTTTTTTTTTTTTCTTAATTAATTGCGTGGCTTTTCTTCTTCATTTTCACATTTCGCGGTTTCACTTTAATTTGAGGTGAGCAATGATTTCGTATATTCATAAATTATGAATTCATGCCTGCACATTCACTTTGGAACTATGCCTACACATTCCCGTCCGAAATTATGGACATTCATAAATTATGAATCCATGCCTGCACATTCACTTTGGAACCATGCCTACACATTCACTTTGGAACCATGAGATTATGAATTTTCTGTTATAAGATTATGAATTTTCAGTTATGAGATTATGAATTTTCTGTTATGAGATTATGAATTTTCTGTTATGAAATTATGAATTTTCTGTTATGTGATTATGAATCTACATTACATTCATAATCTCATAACAGAAAATTTATAATCTCATAACAGAAAATTCATAATTTAATAAATATTTTACTTTTATGCGATTATGAATTTTCTGTTATGAGATTATGAATTTACATTACATTCATAATCTCATAACAGAAAATTCATAATTTGATCAAACGCGCGCCGTTAACTCCACATTCGCGATTTTTTTTTTTTTTACTTAAAAACGACGTAGTTTGGACTTGTGTTCACTATTCACGGTGAACACGTTTCCAGGGCATAATTTACCTTTGAAAATGGCAAATTATGCTGTGGAATCGTGTCCAATTTTACAACGGTGTCGTTTTCGTTGAAAACGACGCGGTTCTAATTTTTTTTGAAAATATATTTGTTTTTTACTTACCGTTAATGACGTCTCTCTCTTCGCAATTGCACAATTTAGAAATATGAATCTACAGTATAGAAATTATGAATCTACAGTATTATGTTTGTGAATTGTGAAGATGTGATAGAGCTATATCTTCATGATTATAGAGTTATATGTTCATAATTTTTGATGTTCATATTCCCAATTATTGAAGCTGTATTCACAAATCACAGAACTATATGTTCATAAATTGATAACTATACAGTTTAGAAATTATGAATCTACAGTACATAAATTATGAATCTATAGTACAAATATTATGAGTCTGCAGTATAGAAATTATGAATCTACTGTATTTAATTTATAAATCTACAGTATATATTTTATGAATCTACAGTATAGAAATTATTAATTTACAACATAGAAATTATGAATCTACAACATAGAAATTATGAATTTACAGTATGAAATTATGGAGGATAACGGTGTCACTAACGACACCGTTACTCAACCACATGAAAACAGTGTCGTTTGGAACCGTGCCCACCTTGCAAGGTAGGCACGGTTCCACGGCATAATGATTGTCTATGCAATTAGGTTATTGAATGAAAATAAGTGCAATTAAGCTACTAAACACCCAAATATATGCAATTTCACATGATAGCAGATACCATCCATATCATCGAGTTGTCTGTTGATGTGAATGGTGAGTTAGCGTTTTTAATAATATCTTTAAAAATTAAAAAAAATAAAAGTGTTAAGGTGACCGTCGACCACCCCCCTTCTTCATCTTTGACTGGAGACAAAGAGTCTGTCTTCGTCTTCGACCAGAGACGAAGAGTCTATCTACGTCTCCGACGGAGACTAAGGAAGGAGGGTGGGGGGTGGGGGGAGGGTGGCGTGAGACAAGTCCTTCGTCTCATGCACCCCAGGGTGGCCCTTTATTTTTTATTTGTTTTATTTTATTTTATTTTTAAAGTTTAATATTAAAAGTTATTTAAAATGTCAACTCACCTTTCAACTTAAACAAGTAACTTAACAGATAACTTGATTAAATGGATAGTAACACGTTATCTGTGAAATTGTATCTATTTGGCGTGTTTAGTAATTTAATTGCATTTTTTTATTCAATACTGTAATTGTATTTTCAAGTATTCAGTGATCAATTGGGATCTTATTATTATTTTATTTTTTTGGGAGAAGCAATTTCAATGTTTCAAGGGGGAATTCAAGCGAAACTTTAAATTATGCGAGGAGCTCTATAATATTGTCCGGGCATGAGGGAGCTTTTAAATTTGATGAAATTATGGAATTTTTACAGGGCATATTCATCTCTGCCAGCACACTTTACCGGACCACTCTTAGGTATCCATCTCAATCGCTTACTCCAGCTTTCCAGCAATTTCAAATCATTACGTCCTGGAAAACAGACCCATCAACAGATAATTGTACATGGAGTTGCCGAGAATCCATTTATCATCACTAAATTATTCCAAATGTACGGTGATTGTGATGATGTAAGTTCTGCGCGCCATCTGTTTGATGAGTTGCCACAGCCGAATGTGTTCGCCTGGACGGCACTCCTATCCTTCTTTTCCCGGAATGGGTTGTTTTATGAGTGCGTTAGAACTTATTGCGAGATGAAATTCAAGGGTGTTTTGCCCGATAAGTATGTGTTTCCGAGAGTTCTGAGAGCATTTTCATTGTATTCTTGCTTGGAAGTTGGGGACCTTAGGAGTGGTAGATTGGTTTTTGATTTGATGATGGAGAGAGATTTGCTTTCTTGGAATTCGATGATTGATTTCAGGGTACGTGTGCAACAATTTTCTTGCTTTGGCAATGGAAATGTTGCAACTGGAAACTGAACTTTTATCATTTTGTTTAACGCCTAAGTCTAAAGTTTGGCTCCTGTAAAGGTTGCCATTATTGATTGAAGGCTTTTCTTACACAGATTTCTTACATTTTGCAGTACTCCTTAACTAGAAGGGTACATAATCACTCAAAGGAAGAGACAATTGTGAAAGCCGCAGTTTCCTTTCATCCGAAAGAAGTTTTGCAAACCTGCCGGTAAAGGAAAGAAGGATAAAGGTTAGAATAATACTTTTATCTCATCATATAGCAAAAAGACATATTTAGTTTATGCAATTAATACTACTTTTGAAGTGCTTCCATGTTGGTTTCTCCGTTATTCACTGGTTTATATTCTCCAGTATTTAGATCAACCTTGAAAACGGGTTTTCTCAATAGATTCTCTCCAACCCTGATAAGATTTCCCAAATTCTCCTTAGTTGCTTCATCCATAGAGGACAAAGCCCCAGTCAGTGTATTATCCTGCACTTAATTTGCATGCAAAACAAAGCCATTTTAAGACTAGGACACCATTAATATATCTTGATTCTAGGATGATATATATATATATATATACACACACATACTTGGATTCGGATGTATTTATCTTCTGATTGAAGAGCTTTGAAGAGAACAGAGCTCTGAAGATCAACCGTAGCTCCACTAGCTTGATGAAAAGCCTCCATTAATGGAGTAGAGCTCCCATTGAACAGCCAGTCAAACATCCCCCACTTTGCCACAGTTCTAGAACTGTACTTGTGTTCATTCTTTGCAGAGCCTGTCCCAATAGATATTATGAGATAGCGGTCGAATTCCAAAGGCTTTGCAGGGTAAAAATCTGGGTGTCCCTTCAGCACTTGCTTAGTCACTTCATTGACAGCAAGTAATGTCTGTTTTGGATTGGTCAACCAGTTAAGTCGTGCCCTTATTAGTCTATATATAAATAACTGTATCTATTGAGATTAATACTAACTTATACCGGGTTATTAGCTACAATAGTTCCATCAACGAGGTTGAACTCTCGTTGCCTTCCTTGAACATCCTTGTTCTTGAAATAGTATGGTGGCATATGGGTTGGTGTAGCCGTTGTACCAATGCATATGTCCGAGAGTTTTGCATCCAAGATGGAACCTTGTAGTGCCTTCACGTAATAAAAAACAGAAAATACGTTTACTTGTACATCTAAAGAACATAATACAGAAACCTGGGCTGGGACTAGCTAGCACCTCGTATGAGTTGAAGATGATTGGTTCAAGATTCTTGATATCGAAAGTAGGAATAACCACATTGGTCAATGTTTGGTGCAACCTTGTGCCTCCCAACACATGCATTATAAGTTTGCGAAAATACTTGCCATCATATTTAGGCCCCGTTAAGGCTTTCCCTTGATCTATGACCTTACCGAATGGCCCTCTACAACATCATCAAACAACAATGAAAAATGTTTTAGGATTTATACCAAACGACCAAACATGGATACCTAAGTAGAGGTTTAATTTACTTAATCTGCTGAAAAATATAGGGATAGTGGTAGAGGTAGAATGGAATTATATCCTTTGCAGCATTGAGAGGGCGTCTGTTTTGGTTAGGAGCAGTCAACAATGCTGTCATCAGACCACCACTTCCTGTTCCTGCAATCACATCAAAGTAGTCTGCAATCCTTGCATCCTCACCATCTAATTCCTTCAAACACAAAATCAATGGAGGTGTTTGGTAAATAACTGTTAGATGATTGGATTAGTGGTTTAACTAGTTAATAGCATTAGCTGATTGTAGAAAAGTGTTTGGTAAATTAGCTGTTAGCTGATAGTTGATACATGCAAAATGACTTTCTTAAAAAACTGATTGAAAAAACTACTTTGAACAACTTTTTGAATTTTAGCATTTTGGAGCAATAAGTTGTTACAAAAAAACTAATTAATCAAACACTCATATTTTGTTTAATCAAGTCAAACAACTAATAGTTGTCAAATAAATCAAAATTGGCTGATAGGCTCACCATTTTACCAAACAGAGCCAATACGTTTTTTAGTGAGAAGGGTAACTTGCAGTCACTTCACTAATACATTGAGAAACCTTATATTGTGACTTTAGTTAGCAAAGGACTACAAGGAGGTAAACCAGCTTAGGGTTGTCCATAGCCGACTTGAAGGCCAATAGGCTGCTCCAGCTGGGAATTTTGAATTTGTAACTTTGTGACTATCAAGTCAACAACCTAACGAACTTGGGCTCGGTTGTTCCTGGGGATGCTACCTTTTTTGAGTTTTAGCGGCTAACTAGAATTACCTGAAGCTGAGACTCTAGATAAGAAAGGATGACAGCAGGGATGATTCCTCTGATTCCTCCTCCATCAATACTAAGGATTGTAATCAGCTTCCCGCTGTTGGGTGGCCGATTTGGTGGAACAACAGATGTTCCCTCCATTTCAGGCTAACAAAAAATTCACAATTTGTGACGAAAAGTTACTCAATAAAATCGAAACAAAACTAAAGAGACTAAAAGAAAATGAAATATATATGATGGGAGAAGTTTACGTGCCATGGAAACTTATAGTCCAGATCCGTACATATTCAATTTGAATAGCATTACATGCATCGTACCGTACCGTACGTATATTAATTTATAGAGCTATTAATTATGGTATGTTTGTTCAAGAGTGTATACAACCTTCATTTATCATTATTTTTTTATTATTTATCCATTAAATGTATAAGAAAAAAGATTGTTTGGAAATTCAAGCAACATACACACATGTTCTAGCTTCAAGCCTATAACTAAAGTACACCATGTTTAACTACTGTCTTTGATTGTCTATGCCTTAGCTTAGCCCTTAAGCTTTAAACATTTTTTTTTTGGATGATGAGGGAAACACGCAATCACTATTTGAGGGTGTATTGTTTTTGTGTAATAATTTGTAAACCACAAGAGAGATAAAATGTACTAAAAAGACCATGTGTAGTGGATTAGTCTGAGAGGAGTATTGACAAAAATTAAATTCGTGACTTTCTGGTATGAGAATTATAGTCTACCCATTTCGAGGCAACTTTCAACATTTTGTTTAATGAGCTAATTGGGTTAGCACTTTCAGCAGTCCAATTAGTAGTCACCAGGCACATTGGGCTAATTGTATCATACTTCTTATATGGGCTTGGCCGCTTGGGTGAAGGAAGGTTAGGGAGGGAGTAGACCAATCGTTATGCTGTGCATCCGTATGCACTATGCATGGTGCATACGGATGCCAAAACGACGTCGTTTTATTAAAAAGCGCGCGTCTCCTCTTTAAAAAAAATTCAGGTTCGATTCCCAGCAACAACATTATATTGTTCATTCATTCTGGAATTTTAGTTCATTGATTATGGAATTATAGTTCATTGATTATGGAATTATAGTTCATCGATTATGGAATTGTAGTTCATCGATTCTGAAATTTGAGTTTATAGATTATGGAATTTTAGTTCATTCATTCTGGAATTTTTAGTTCATAGATTAGATTATGGAATTATAGTTCATCGATTATGGAATTTTAGTTCATATATTGTTGCTGGGAATCGAACCTGAATTTTTTTTAAGGGGAGACACACGTTTTATTAAAACGACGTCGTTTTTGCATTCGTATGCATCATGCATGGTGCATACGGATGCACAGCATAGTTTGCGATTTTTATCCACTAGGTGAATATATCATACATGGGCCGATTGTTGTATTTTTTTTGATAATTCTCTTCCCTCCACCACGCGGCAAACCATATCTCGTGTCATGAGGCTCACTTTGCAAGATAGACATTAATACACATTCATTTTTAATATAATATATAGGGTGTTGCTATTTGCACAACCCTTTGATTAAAATGGGGTATAAAGTACATTGAAAATATAAAAATGTGATAATTTATAATAAATACATAAGTGGTGCAAATAGCTTAATGGTGGTCAAAATGCTATTTGCACCACCTTAGTAAAACTGCATTTATTAGATTTAAGTAATAATTAATTAATTCAAAATTTAATTCATTAAAATTAAAAAAAAAAAAAAAGGAAACTATCGCCTTCTCCGGCGAGAAGGCGATGGGCATGCCTTCTCACCGGAGAAGGCGAGGGGTTTAATATATATATATATATATATATATATATATATATATATATATATATATATATATATATATATATTATAAAAGAAATTAATAATTTGATTGTAAAAAAAAAATATATAAAATAAATATTAGTCTTTGACCACATTAAATGATGGTGGTGCAAATAGCACTTTTTAATTAGCACCACCTATAAAGTGGTTTGACCTATTAAATAGGTGGTGCAAATAGTAAAATAAGTTGTGTGAATAGAATTTCCCAATATATATTACATGTTTATTTTTAGTAAGTTCATCCTATCTGAAAGTGCGTTCTTAGTAAAGTCTTTCTTGTAATCTGAGCTGACTCAAACCAATAAAGCCAATAATATAATAGACCAATAGTTATGCTGTGGAACCGTGTTCACCATGCGCATGATGAACACGGGATAGATCCATAATTTCTAAACTGTAGATCCATAATTTTTATACTGTAGATTTATAACATCTATACTGTAGATTCATAATTTCTATACCGTACTGTAGATTCATAATTTCTATACCGTACTGTAGATTCATAATTTCTATACCGTATTGTAGATTTATAATTTCTACAGCATAGAAATTATAGATCTACCCATGTGTTCATCATGCGCATGGTGAACACGTTTCCATAGCATAATTTTCAATAATAGACAGTTCTTACGGAGAGTTAAACTTAAAATTTTGTGATTATCAAGACAACCGCTCAACCAACTTGGCTGAGGTGGGCACATGCATCTCTTTTCCGAATGGAAGGTTTAGGGATTGTATAGAGTCCGGAAATATTGAATACCTGACCACCCCAAACCCTACTAGAATGAATTCAAAACACACCAAAAACCCAATACCTTTTCTCAGAAAGAAGTTCTCCATTGTCCCTTAAGTCATTCTCAAATATGTTATTGCCAACTATACGTTCCTTAAAGGAGTACGTCTCTCTATAAGCTGAAAGTGTAACAGAAAATAGAAACAGGCACTTGAATTAAGCTCAGCTCTACGTACTTTTTTGTCCTTGGGATATGCGTTTCGGCCTGTTTTGAACTATAACACGTAACGAATACTCACCGTCTAACGTGAATAAGAAAAGAGAAAAAGAGGAATGCATAAAAGAGGAAAAAGAGAGAGCAATAAATACAATACTGCCATATAAAATTCATCAAGATCCTGAAAAGATTCTCCCAAGACTTTGTATGGTTTGCATAACCCTAATGATTCAAGCCTACAGCACCACTCAATATAATCACCACCCACACCATGCAAATATGGCACAACACACAGTCAAATGATGTTTGTTTGTTTTAGTCCCCGTGGTCCCTTTTGGTGTGTCTTTTAAAAGTTTAGTGCGTGGGACAACACTGGTAGCTAGCTAGGTTTCCTCAAGTCGAGGAGCTTGGCCGGGAAGAATCTACTTCTTTTAAAAGGAAGTAAAATTGCACCCAAATTCCGAAAACCCTTGTAATTTCTGTTTTAAAGCTATTGTTTTTCAAAAACCTCTATATTATCTGTCTTAAAGAGTTGACAGAGGAAATAACCGTGAGATATGTCTCAACTGTTTACAGATTTTACATTTTTATCACTAACTATTAATTTATTTGGATTCGTCAACCAGTTAAGCTATCTCTACAAATTACTTTTTCTAGTTTGTGGTTTGAACACTTTGAATAGGAGTCAATGAAGAGAGAAGCACATAAAGATATTTTATCATTTGCTTAATTTGACTTGTGCAGCAACCAAGACAAGTGGTAAGGGCCCTCAAGAAGTTGGTGGCTTCGATATGATTCTATAGGTTTAAGTGAATCTGAAAAGAACCCAACTCCTAGCTGTCACTTTCCACATGCACTTGGAAAGTACTTGATACACTGCAGCTCCTGCTTGCTTTTGCTAATTAACTTCAAATAAAACCATTGAAAAGAGTTCCCTTTTATGTCTTGCAATTCCCAGTTTGGTCGAGCTGAGGAAAGTGTTTGTATAGAGGATCAGATCAGAAATGAATATATTTATGCTCATTATCATATTAGTTTCTAGCTAGCATAAACCTCATAGTGATTCAGGCTGGGGTGAGTTATAGTTTTGGTTTTAGGATTAGATTGAATCTACTAATCCTCAGGAGCTGGCCCAGGGGATCGTCACTTGTGGGGAAATTGTCACTTGTGTAAATTGAATCTGGGTTATTTCGAAATTTTTTCAGACACAAAGAGAGCTCACTTGTCACAAACAAGGGGGCGTTTGGTTCAGGTTATATAAGATAACCAATTTTATATTTGCTTGGTAATATAAGATTCTCATGTTTGGTTCAGGTAACTTTTTCAGGGAATGTCAGATAACCTCCGCATTAAGTTTTTAGCTATTCGAAGGGAGTGTGAGATATCCTCCAATTTTTTAGGTAATCTCACATTCCCTTGTCTTATTGCTAATGTTGGGCTTTGGACGTTTTAATCAATTTATCTTATATTACTGTTGTCTTATTTACATATCTTAGTTTTAAACCACTTAGTTACATATAAAATGAATAAGTCTAATATGAATAATATGATCATATCTTATTCTAAGGACAATAAGATGTGAATAATAACTCAACTCCAAACTTGTGCACACAGAATTAAATTGAAACAAGAATACAGTTGTGTCTCACTCCTGTTTGTCGTTGGAAGTTGTATCTGAGCCCCTGATTATTAAAGGGTAGGCAAAGGCAAGTGGGATGTGCTGAAAAGTCCTGTCCTTTTCTATTTGATTTGGGTGGTGGGAAATAGGATTGCCAGACGAACCCAGGCCAACTTTTGTTATTATAAGGTAGAAGAATAAATATTCAATTCTCTATTCACATTTGACCCATAAATTACCTTTTTTTTTTTTTTTTTTTTAATGAATTTATGTACTTTAATTTTGGTTTCACATTGTGCATAATAAAAAAATATTAAACCAGCCAGCATTTAAAAAAAAAAAACACTCATTCTATAGCACCAATCCCAAAGGCCCTCCACACCATGTCTCGACAGAATATTTGGGATGATGTAAAATTACGGTGACGCAATAGCTCCGCAGACAATATCAAATACCGGTGCATACAAAAGATCTGCTAACTTTAGGTATTGTCTATTGAATCAGTGAGCTAAGCTTATACGAGTAGCACCAATTAAAGCTATTGGTATTAAATGTTGCCACAAATGATGTAGCTGAGAGCCTGAGATTAGAATGTCACCGATTCAATCATTACTAACACTTTCTAAGTCAAATATGTCATATAGAGTTTTCATCATATGACCTTAGCTTGAAACTTTCTAAGTCAAATTTTTCGATCACTTGAATAAATATTTTTCGGTGACGATGAAATGATTTGATTTGATATCATTAGTATTTCTAATGGAGTGTAGTATTTTGTAGGTTTCTTTTTATCTGAGGAATAAGAATGGCCGTACCACTTAAATGATTCTTCTCTTAGTAACCCATCCTTCATTATCTACTTAAATTAATTTAAAGGAAATTAAACTAATATTAAAATTGTCAAAACCTTGTGGCCAAGCGGTATAACTGTGGCGCTATCAAATGAGAGGTCACAAGTTTGAGTCATAGGTTGAGAAAGTATGTATGAACATATACTACATTATAACAATGTCAGTATTTTTTTATTACACTACTGTATATATTTAAATTAAACGACAATTTTAGAAATAATTTTATTTTTTATTGAAACTATAATTACTAAGTATTTTATTTCAATTTTGTTTAGGATTCTCATGTTTGAACCAACCAAATGCATAATAGTTCTTGAATCAATTAAATTTTGCTCGTTGGATAGAGACTTGGAGTATTGAGTTTAGTATTTTACAATCGGAACATGTCGTTGATTGATACATAAATATAAAGAAATAAAATTGTATCTTTGATACTAATTCTAACTTTTAGCGTAGTGATAAACACTTGATTTTACAATTGGTATCAGAGCATGTCAAATGTTGTGCAGTTGAAATTGACGGGTAAGGGATTGTTGGGAGAAGGAAGACCAAGTTTACCATTCTGCCATCCATTCAAGTTATTAATGGGAAAAAGAAGAAAAAAAAAATCAAATGAAAACCAACCGTAGAAATATCCTCACCAAAGACTTTTGAACTCAACAAATTCAAAAGTATAAAAGTAAATATTGTGAATCCCACCCTATAAATACCCAGACTTATAAAGCTCAATTCATTCAGATCTCAGGACTCAACCTAGCTTGTAAACCCTCACAAGTCTTCTCTCTGAGTTCTTTATCATTCTAGGGTTTCCTTGTTTTGAGCTCACATCTCATCTTTACACAGTTCCTCCACCAACCCTTTAAACAAAAACCTCATTTCACCTCAAAAACAATTCCATATAGCTAAGGGAATTGAAGTTGCACCAAAGCTTGGCTATATATCTTGCTATGGCCTTCATCAAAAGTATGTATGTACTCTGTGTTTCCCTGCTAGCAGTAACTGTTTGTTTCGAGGTTCAATTTACTGCAGGGAGACAACTGAAAGCATTCAAGAAACTGGAGTTTAGCTCCATTGAACATGATGAGGCCATGAAGGCACATGATCATGGAAAGGAAGAAACTTTAGCAAAAGTTGAATCAAAGACACTAAGGTTTGGTGATCTAAAAGACACGGAACCAGGTCACAGCCCAGGCATTGGTCACTCCTTCCAAACCAAAAACCGCTTTGTCTTTGGTGATCACAAAGCCGTGGTACCAGGTCATAGCCCGGGCATTGGTCACTTCTTCCAAAACAAGAATAGCATGCTTAGCCACACCTTTGAGGGAAATTCACACGATCTCAAAGCTATGGTACCAGGTCACAGCCCAGGTATTGGCCATGCCCTTAAGGGAAGTTCAGACGATCTCAAAGCTATTCAGCCAGGTCATAGCCCAGGTATTGGCCACGCCCTTAAGGGAAGTTCAAACGATCTTAAAGTCATTGAACCCGGTCATAGCCCAGGTATTGGTCACGCCCTTAAGGGAAGTTCAAACGATCTCAAAGCTATTGAACCAGGTCATAGCCCAGGCATTGGCCACATGACTAAGGAAAGCTTAGAAGCCACAGTGCCCGATCACAGTCCAGGCATTGGTCATTCTTTCCAAAATAAAAACACCATAAGCCATACCTTTCAGAGAAGTTTTGGTGATCTCAAAGACACAACACCCGGTCACAGCCCAGGAATTGGTCACTCTCTCCAAAATAAAAACACCATAAGTCATACCTTTCTGAGAAGTTTTGATGATCTCAAAGACACAACGCTGGGTCACAGCCCAGGAATTGGCCATTCTTTCCAAAACAAAAACACTGGTCCATAGTATTTCATTTGTATTGCTGCATGAAGCTAGCTAGTGTGCATTATCTAGAAACACTAGTCGAAATTATGAAATTTCCGACCACCTGAAAGTGATCTTAAATCAAGTTGATACCAAAAAGTGGTCGGAAATAGCAACAAAGATTTTTTCGGATACCAAAAGTGGTCGGAACAAGACTTTTGACTTGATTTAAGATCAATTTCAGGTGGTCGGAAATTTCAGAATTTTCAGTAGTGAAATGAAATATATTTCGCTAGTACTGTATTATTATTTGTAAATCAGAAAGATTGTGATTTGTCTTAATCAAGATAATAACAGAAACGATTGCATCCTTGATATTATCCACTATATATCCAGTCATGTTTTAAAACCCTAACATGAATTTATGTCAGTGCATGCATGCATGCAGTTCAATCCCCATGCAAAATTCACTATCAGATTGCCAAAGATGATAAAATTAAAGAAATTGAAGGCGAAGAGGTACATACCGTGCAAAAAATAAAAATAAAAAATAAAAAATTAAAAAACCCAATAAATTAAAAATCATACCCACTAAGTTCTGTCGAAAATGATTCCATTTCACTTGTTTGACTCTTAGTTTCTCTCCATCTACAAAGTAAAAAAGTTGACTGCACTTGTTAATTTAATTATATATATTTGAAGGGTCACATTTATGTGAAACCGTCTCACGGATCTTTTTCCGTGAAACGGATCAAGTCAGGTCAGTTCAATATGCAAATATTATACTTATACTAGTAAATGTAATACTAAAGCGATCAGAAATAAAATATTTATTACATATAAGGAAAAACATAATACTTTTGAGAACAAATGTAATACTTTTATATTTTGACGTAAAAGTATTACTTTTTCTTCAAAAGTATTATATTTTTCAGTAATGTTATACTTCTAAATAAAAATGTAATACTTTTACATCAAAATGGAAAAATATTACATTTTTCCTAAGAAAGTATTACATTTTTTCATATAAGTAATAAACGTTTTATTATTGATTTAGTATTACATTTGCTAGTATAAGTATTACATTTCATATTTACCCGACTCGTCTCATGAACAAGGATCTGTGATGCGGTCTCACACAAATTTTTACCCTATTTGAATTGTCCTCAAGGTGTATAAACATAATTAATTATTAATTAATTTAAAACACACACATGAATATATGTACCACCTTTGTAAAAAGTAGCACTAACATTTTCCTCGGATTACTAGAAAGACCAGCCCACCAATATATATATATATATATATATATATATATATATATTTGTTTATTTATTTATTTATATAAGGGTAGACTAAGTGGAGGTAACCAAAAAGCTAGGTTTCCAAATGGGACAAACAACTGTAACCTCTAATTTAAATATATATATATATATATATATATATATATATATATATTTTGAAAGTTACTGACTCCGGTCTATTACATTGTAGTATGTGTTCACACCTTCACTCATGTTCGATCTCATAACCTCCTACATGGGAAATGTCACTACATGCCATCTCAGCACAAGGTGCTTGGCTAATTTAGAAATATATATTAAATCCCTAAATTGTAACATTATTTGAGTTATGCTTAAAATGCAGTCTATTTATTACAAGAATGAATGATATGAATAGTAGATTATGGTATATTATGTTAGTATCATTCCATGTTTCCATCTTCCGATCTTATAGTTAATTATGTTAAGAATTCACTCATCAATTTTTCTAAATTATCACTAGTTAGTAATCAGCACCATTGTCATTGATTCCCTCACCGTTTTAGGTCCGTAAACTATCATTGTGCACCACACTACACCACCAACAATATAATTGGCAAACATAATACCATGCACCATTATTAATTAACGTTCATATTTTAAATAAAA